GCATCCCATATGGTCCCCTGAGCATCTCCAGGAGTAATTCCTGAGTGAAGAGCCAGGAGTAACACCTGCGCATTGCCAGGTGTGACCCCCCAAAAAGAAAAAAACATTTGATAGAAATTAAAATTTTAAAGAAAATTTTCTTTGCTCTTAAAATAAGTTTGAAGGGGCTGGAGTGATAGTACAGCAGGCAGGGCATTTGCCTTGCATGAGGCTGACCAAGCTTTCATTACAAGCATCACATATGGCTTCCTGAACACCTCCAGGAGTAAATCCTGAGTGCAAATCCATGAGTAACCCCTGTGCATCACCTGGTGAAGCCCCAAAAGCCAAACACACACACACACATATATACACATATATTTAATTTTGAAGAGTTATATTCACAGAGATGTAGAGCAGAGAACTAAGAGGAGTTAGTCTTAACTTCTAGTCATGAGAATTTAAAGAAGTTATGATTTGATAATTATGCCGATATAATTCTCAGTCACATACATATTTTGGCACATACATTATACTCAAAATTAAAATTTATAGTAACTTAAAAATGTATATAACACATGAAATTGTAAATAGAAAATAAAATTTCAAATGATTTCTAAAACTGTTGCATAATGTTTATTAAGTTGACTGACAATGTGTGGGGCACACCCACTAATTTTCAATGATTTATGCCTGGAGACAGTTATGCTGTGTGATGTTTAAACCCTGATTTTATCACATTACAAAATTTGTATTTCTTCCTTCAATGCCCTAATACATGTAACGTACATATTTTTTAAAAATTTTTATTAGTGAGACACCATGAGGTTCAGTTGTAGACTTACAAATTTTGTGCTTGGGTTTCAATTATACAATGATCAAACACCCATCCCTCCACCAGTGCCCATTTCCCACCACGACGGATCCCAGTATCCCTCCCAACCCCATCCTCCCCATTCCACTCTGCCTCTGTGGCAGGGCATTCCCCTCTGTTCTCTCTCTCCTTTTGGGTGTTGTGATTTGCAAAAGAGGCATTGAGTGGCAATATTTTTCACTATGAATTTATCTATGAATTAAAATTACTATTAACCACCAGTTACCAGATCGGAATTAAAATTTAATTTTCTAAGTTAATTTTATTATGCTATTTCCATCAGTTTAATGTCATATATCTATTTGGTACATAATTAGGTAAATTTATTTAATTTACTTAAATATTGTAACTCAAGATAATTCTCATGAATGCTGTGGCCAGAGAGAATGAGAGTATAGACAATGAGGTGTTTGCTTTACACTAGCCAACTAGGTTTAATCCCTGGAGTATTTCCAGGAGTGATCCCTGAGCACAAACTAAGAGTAAACCCTGATAATCAGTGGATGTGTCCCCCAAACAAAGAAACAAACAAACAAAAAAATCTAATGAATGTATATTCCACCCTGGATTGTTGATAAATATCACATTTTGTTATTAAGGCATTGAGGGGTTTTTTTGTACTACTGAAAGAGAAATCTTGTTTTAAAAAATATTAAAAATATTTTCAATATTTAAAAATATTTAAAACAAAATATACACAGCTGAGGTCTTCTCACCACCCATTCACACACCACAAATTCCAATTAACCCCGAAAAAAATTCCCCTTAACACATTCCTTTCTTAACCTCTGGTAGCCATCATAATTTCCACAGATTCTAAATGATCATTTTATTATTTCTTGCCAGTTTGTAGACCTCAGTAATTCATATTGAGTAATATGTTTAATAAAGTATGCAATTTCACTTAGTTTAGTATCATCACATGAGAATTTATTCAGGCATATTTCCCAATGAGTACAATTTTATCTTATTTTTAATGACAAATTAAAATCCCACTGAGTATATAAACCATAACTTCTTTTTTCAGTGGACCATTTATGTTGATTCCAAATTTAAGCTAATGTGAAAATTTCTACTATGAATAGAGGAGTATAATATATTTTTGAATTAGTGTCTTTTTCTATCTTTAAGATACATGACTAGGAATGGTATTAATGCATCATGTATAATTTCTTAATTATACACACACATATATACATATAAATTTATGTGCTTAATTATAAATTACACAAATGATCTTTCAAAAACAATAGTTCTTAACTTTTCATGCCTGCATTCCCAAGTCAATTAATCTTAAGCTCTAGCAGTGTGATCAAAGTCACATCATTATAAAATTGTCTTTATATTATTTCAATATGATGTTAACTTTAAGAAACTGAACTGAACTGAAAAATAAGATAGGTAACTACATAGTGTAAATTTTTGTCAATTTTTTCTCATGTGTAAGTAAATGATATAAAAATCTGAAAGCTATTAGTAGAGAATAATTTGAGCGTAGTTTGTGCTTTTACTACAGGCTGATTGCTTCCTTTTGAAGTCACTTATCGTATTAAAAATACCCCCCACACACACACACACACTTTTTTAACAGTATATTCTCTTCTACAGCATGAGAACAATATGACTTTCTGAGAATTCTAACTTTTCTCTTTTTGGGTAAAAGGACAAGTGGGTGCTTATTTTCCTTGAGGCCTTCACCTACCTCTCTATCCACTGAACTATTCCATATTGCCTTGAATAATTCTCAAACCTGGACACAGTTGTCCTCCACAATTCACATATTAACCAAAGGAATGTTTGAAACACAAAATTTTAATCATACCATTCCTTTATTCTACAGAGATTTTTCTAATTATAACTTTTTGACCCAGAACTCTACTTATCATCTTCTACACACTTGAACTAACTCAAGTATCTTTTTTTAAATTTAATTTTTATTAGTGACAAACCTTGAGGTACAGTTGTAGACTTACAGATTTTAGTGCTTAGGTTTCAATTATACAATGATTAAGTACCCATCCCTCCACCAGTGCCCATTTTCCACTACCACGGATCCCAGTATCCCTCCCACCCCCCAACCCCCCCAACCCACCCTGCCTCTGTGGCAGGGCATTCCAAGTATCTTAAATCACACTTGGTGCTACTGTACTGCAACCAGTTTCCAGGCCTCCAATGCCATATTGTTCGTACCACACAAATCATCTCAGTTTGCCAAAAGTACTAAACTTCCCATCACACCAACAAATTATTTGTAATTCCTGGATCAGATAGTCTCTCCAATTGTGGGAAAAGGATTGAAGCTTCACAATCCTTATCATAGTTATTAATGATTTGTTTGTTTAATTTGGGGGTCACACCTGAAAGTGCTCAGGATTTATTCCTGGTCTGTGCTTATGGATCAATCCTGGTGGTGCTCAGGATTGGGATCAAACTGGATTTACCATCTCCTGTTAAGAGTATGTACTGATAATGTAATATTAACAATTTATGAATGAATAAATGGGAAAATAATACAAGATGCTGAAATTAAGAACATAGTTTGGTGGGATTGGGTGTTTTCTTCTGGTAGAGTTCAACCAGTACCTTGTATATCCTTGATATCAACCCCTTGTGGATGTGTATTCAGCGAATATCCTTTCCCATTCTGTAGACTATCTTTGTATTTTGGTCACTGTTTCTTTTGAGGTGCAGAAGCTTCTTAGTTTAAGATAGTTCCAATTGTCATCTATCTCTGTTTTCACTTGCTTGCCAGTGACATGAGATCTTTGAAGATACCATTAGCTTCAGTATCATGGAGGGTTTTGCCAGCTTTGTCTTCAATGAACTTTATGGATTCCGGTCTGATGTTGAGGTCATTAATCCATTTTGATCTTACTTTTGTACATGGTGTTAGGCAGAGATCTGAGCCTACTTTTTTGCATGTAGCCATACAGTTTTGCCAGCACAATTTGTTAAAGAGGCTTTCTTTCTTTTAAAAATGGGGCAAGGAAATGAACAGAAACTTCTGCAAAGAAGAAATCTGAATGGCTAAAAGGCACATGAGAAAATGCTCTATATCATTAATCATCAGGGATATGCAGATCAAAACAACAATGAGATATCATTTCACACCACAGAGACTGGCCCACATACAAAAGAACAAAAGAACTGGTGCTGGCGCGGATGTGGCGAGAAAGGGACCCTCCTCCACTGCTGGTGGGAATGCTGACTAGTCCAACCCTTTTGGAAAACAGTATGGATATTTCTCGAAAAATTATAATTTGAGTTCCCATTTGACCCAGCAATACAACTCCTGGGAATATATCCCAGAGAGGCAAAAAAGTATAGTCGAAGTGACATCTGCACTTGTTTGTTCATTGCAGCACTCTTTACAATAGCCAGAATCTGGAAAAAACCTGAGTGCCCGAGAACAGATGACTGGTTAAAGAAACTTTGGTACATTTACACAATGGAGTACTATGTAGCTGTTAGAAAAGATGAAGTCATGAAATTCACATACAAGTGGTACTGCATGGAAAGTATCATGTTAAGCGAAATGAGTCAGAAAGAGCCGTATAGACACAGAAAGATTGCATTCATCTGGGGAACATAAAGCAACAAAATGGGAGACTAACACCCAAAAGTGGCCGAGATTAGTAACAGCAATTTTGCTCCATGACTTGGAGGCCAGCCCCATGTGCTAGGGGGAAAGGAAGCTCAGATAGAGAAGAGAGCACCAAATAAAGGTTGTTGGGAGGATCCTCCCAGGGTGGGAGAAGCATGCTGAAAGTAGACTATAGACCGAACATGATTGCCACTCAATGCCTCTCTTGCAAACCACAGAACCCAAAAGGAGAGAGAGAGAACAAAAGGGAATGCCCTGCCACAGAGGCAAGGTGGGATGGGGGGAATGGGGGGTGGGAGCAATGCTGGGACCCGTGTTGGTGGAGGATGGGTGCTGGTGGAGGGATGGGTACTTGATCATTGTATGACTGAAATCCAAGAAGAAAAATTTGTAAGTCTATAACTGTACCTCATGGTGTTTCACTAATTAAAAAAAAAAAAACATAGTTTGGGAAAAATAGAAAAGCTCATAAGCTGTTTGTTCAGCAAAAGTAACCTGAGTAAATGTTTCTTCCTTCTCTTTCATATGTGTCTGTGTCTGCAGGCTGTGATTTGATTCCAGTACAGTATCTCCGCTGGGGTGACCCTGAGCCCATTGCTGCTGTGGTGTTTGCCTGCCTTGGCCTGCTGGCTACCTTGTTTGTCACTGCAATCTTCATTATTTACCGTGACACTCCAGTAGTCAAGTCGTCTAGCAGGGAACTCTGCTACATTATCCTTGCTGGCATCTGCCTGGGCTACCTTTGTACCTTTTGCCTCATTGCAAAGCCCAAACAAATTTATTGCTACCTTCAGAGAATTGGCATTGGTCTCTCCCCGGCCATGAGCTACTCAGCTCTTGTAACCAAGACCAATCGTATTGCAAGGATCCTGGCCGGCAGCAAGAAAAAGATTTGTACCAAAAAACCTAGATTCATGAGTGCCTGTGCCCAGCTGGTGATCGCTTTCATTCTCATATGCATCCAACTGGGCATCATCGTTGCCCTCTTCATAATGGAGCCTCCTGATATAATGCACGACTACCCAAGTATTCGAGAAGTCTACCTGATTTGTAATACCACCAACCTAGGAGTTGTCACTCCGCTTGGCTACAATGGATTATTGATTTTGAGCTGCACCTTCTACGCTTTCAAGACCAGAAACGTTCCAGCCAACTTCAACGAGGCCAAGTACATCGCCTTCACAATGTATACCACCTGCATTATATGGCTAGCCTTCGTGCCCATCTACTTCGGAAGCAACTACAAAATCATCACAATGTGCTTCTCGGTCAGCCTCAGCGCCACAGTGGCACTGGGCTGCATGTTTGTGCCGAAGGTGTACATCATCCTGGCCAAACCAGAGCGGAACGTGCGCAGCGCCTTCACCACGTCCACCGTGGTGCGCATGCACGTGGGCGATGGAAAGTCCTCCTCGGCGGCCAGCAGGTCCAGCAGTCTGGTCAACCTGTGGAAGAGGAGGGGCTCCTCCGGGGAAACCTTAAGGTAAAGCTTGGAGGGGAGGCAGTGTAGGGCACTGGCTTCTGCGGCCAAGATATGGCTTTCTAGATTTCTTTAATGGTGACATCTGAGTGAACAAGGCGGAGAGCTGGAGAAGTGCTCTGGGAGAGAGGTCCTCAACCCTGACTTGCATGACCGTAGTGGGGTCAGGAGGGCGTGGGTCCCAGAACTTAGACTCAGGTCAGAAACAAGAAGTTGAGATTTCTGATAAGGAATTGTTGCAAAGTTAAAAAAGATCAGGAAAGGAGAAAGTTACGTCACTGAACCGAAGTAAAGATCTCCATGTCCTCCTAGACAGCAAGATAGATAGATAGATAGATAGATAGATAGATAGATAGATAGATAGATAGATAGATTAAAATTCACTAGTTCATCAAAACAGAGATGTCGTTATTATCCACAGAGATGATGCTGGGAACAGAGTGCCCAAAGTCCTACACGTCTGACCGCACTTCATGTGACAGATCTTTTTCAAACCCAGAGTCCTTAAACTACCATCCCAGAGAGGCATGAGAACATGGAGTTTGTATTTCAGTTTCAAGTGGTCAAATTAAAGTCTTATGGGAAGTGTCTAAGTTCATGAAGGGGGGAAATTAATTAAAAATTTGCATAGAATCTTAAAAACTGCCAGTCTCTCTCCCACTTTTTCTTTTTCCTATATAATCCAGTCACAGTGAGCATTTCTTAAGTGTTTACTGCTATTTACTTGGAAAAAGATGTTTTCCAAGTAAATATAGTAAACATTAGACATTTACTAAAGAGAAGAATCTGAAACTAATATAAAACAGAATCTGAGGTACTACAAAAGGTAATAAGGTCACCCTTCCATCCCTTCATTTACCCTTCGTTTAAGAGCAGATTCTTAGGTATCAAAAGGTTACAAGGTAACCGGGTCTTCTAGTTTCTCTCACCAAAAATTGTCAGATCATAATCTCAGTTTACTCTGCAGATATTTGATTATTGATATATGGATAAATAAGTGAAGGATAAATTCCTTTTAAATAATGATAAATAGGTAAAAGATATTGCTTCATCAGTCCTCTCATGCAATGATTTAGCCCTTAAATAAAATTATTCTTGTTTAGTTTTATTTCAATCTAATTCCTCAGAGACTGAACTATGGACAACTATAGCTGTAAAATGTTGAAAGAACTTACAAGATCATTGGAGTTTATTCACATGGTTTGATTCAGTAGCATTATTACTTGAATAATTGTCTTTTCAATTTTTTTCTTTTCTATGTACGCCTCTCATCTCTTTTCATGGATATTGTTCAAGGTATTCAACTAAAGTCCAATGACTATATTTCTACTTCAATAAAACCTGAACACAGAGGAGTGTCCAAATACCTAATCTCATAGTATAGTTCTTAATTGCTTTCATAACTACTTTCTAAAGCACCATTTTTCTCAAACTTCTACAAAGTTAGCCTGTAATTTTATCTAAGTTTATTCTTTGAAAATTTTATCAATTTAATTTAATTAAAAATAATTTCTAAATTATTTTTCAAATACAATCCTGAAGTGCATTCTTATCAACAAAACAACAAAAGGTTTTCTTAAGGTATTAAATTGTAAGTCTGTGGCTGAGCTCCTAAAATGTCCCTAGGGCAGATTGCAAATGGGAAGCAAAGGTGAAGAAATCTGGCTTTGCTCCTAGGTTCTCTGAGTCTGAACACTGCCACTATCATTTTTTTTTATCTTTAATCCTTAGTTTTCTTCACTAGCTAATTTCCCATAGATAATAAAGTGTAAAATAAATAAAGCATGTAAAGGTCAATTATAGCACAGTAGATAATTCATTAAAGGAAGAAGAGTATTGTTTCAGAAAACACTTGACATCACTAGAATGAATACTTGCCATATCATTTCCCGGTTGGATCACCAAAAAAAGTCACTGAACTTTATTATACCTTGATTTCTTCTCTGAAACGTAGACAAACAACTTCAAGTGGTTCTGAGAAAATATGATAAAATACATGTAAAGTACAAGCTACACAGTGAGCATTTCTTAAGTGTTTACTTCTATTATTAGTAGTCATAAAAATAGTCTTCTTCTACCCCTTAAAATATCCATATCAACATTGTAACCAAGACTGGTCTTAACCACAGAGTACAATCATAAAAGGTGCCATAGGTCCAGAGGACGTGGATCACACAGTCTACTCTTTCACGGCGTCTCTGTCTTCCCATTGTCTACTACTTAATTTATCCCAATTTATGTGGGATAAATTAGGGCTGGAGCGATAGCACAGTGGGTAGGGCGTTTGCCTTGCACGCAGCCAATATGGCCGACCCGAGTTCGATTCCTCTGCCCCTCTCGGAGAGCCCAGCAAGCTACCGAGAGTATTCGATATGCCAGACACAGTAACAACAAAGTCTCCAATGGAGACGTTACTGGGCCCGCTCGAGCAAATCGATGATCAACGGGAGGGGGCCTTTTTAAGTGGGATAAATTCCTGGGAAGTGAAAAACTCATCTACCAGAATCACTGTGTCTCAGGTGACAGATTCTGAGACAAGGAAACTGCATACAGGAAAATCAATGATCATCTGCTAGTATGTTTGTGGATGAATGGACTTGGGACGCTTATAATGTGGTAGGTAAACTTTGCTTATCTGCAAGTGTACATAGTACTATATTCCTAGTGGTTCTATCTTCCATAATATTAAGCCCATAATAATCTGTTTATAACACTGAACTCCTACAGTCAACCATTTCTCATGTTTTTTTCTCATAATCTCATGTTTTGTTGTTATTCACATTTCTCTGATAAGAGCTTAATATTTTAATATTTATTATGTACAAGTAAATAAGATGGCAACATGAACAGCAATGATAGTACCAATTTAAAGAATCATCAGATCAGGAACTTTTAGTATCTTTGAGAATATTTCTGCTTGTTTATCCTATGAAGCAATGTAGTATCTGACTGGATTTTTCTTACAGTCAGTACATTTTTATATCACACAGTGTAAGGCTATTGTTAGGGGTATTTTGCATGCGTTCTTGGCAAATTCTATTTCATTATTGGTGAGACAAATTAGAGTCAGATTATATGAAGACTCTTCCCCTTTGTTTGCCATGAATCACATCTTCCTACTGAAACTGCATTAGATATGGCAAATAAAGACCAAACAAAATTCTAATACCCTGGCATCACCTAAATGCCATTTACCTATTCACCCTTTGAAGTTATAGTCCTAAAAAACAGTTCATACCCAAACTAAAATCCCTTTTCTTCATGTCTTCCATCTGATCTCAAACAAAGCATTTTTCTCCTTGATCAAAAATTAAGATGTTTATGGGACAAAGCGATAGTACAGTGGGTAGAACACTTTTCTTCCATGAGGCTGATGTAAGTTCGATCTCTGGCACCACATTTGAGCACTGTCAGGAGTGACCCCTGCATGCAAATCCAGGAATAGGTCCTAAGCACGTTGGGTCTGACCCCTTAAAACAAACGAAACAAATTAAGATTCTCTGTATACTCGATTTTGCTCGAGTGGGCCCAGTAACATCTCCATTTTGAGACTTGTTGTTACTGTGTTTGGCATATTGAGTACGTCACGGGTAGCTTGCCAGGCTTCGCCATGCGGGCAAGATACTCAAGGTAGCTTGCCAGGCTCTCCAAGAGGGGCCGAGGAATCGAACCTGGCTCAGCCCCGCTGGCTGTGTGCAAGGCAAATGCCTTACCGCTGTGCTATCACTCTGTATACTAATTTTTTAAATCACATTATAGGATTAACTGGTTGTGTATGAATATTCTTCTCTTTTAGTGTATAGTTTTATCAAGGCCAGTATATGTCATATTCCTGTCATAGCAAGGCAAATGAAGTGAATGTGGGTGCTCTGAATATGTTCAAATTTTCTTCTAACTTATCTCCACTAATTATGTTCTCAGGCTTGAAATCAGTAAAATGCCAAAAGATCCATTAATGAAGATCTAGAGTGGATTTAAATGGGTGATTTTAATCTCCGTATAGGTCTCTGAGGAGACGCAGTTGTGGCTGGGTAAAGCGGAAGCAACTGTTTCACACCTGGTGTTCTAAGAAGCTGCTGAGAATCCACAATGTGTTTGAGTCTAATTTTTTTACAAGTCCGTGCACATTCTTTCACTTGTTACAGAAGACAGCAACACTGCCCATTGTTCCAGTATTCTCTTATTGAGTACCTTAGAGTGAGAAGCCTAAAAGTGGTTTCTGAGATTATAGTGACTGTATTTCCCTAAATTGTATACATTCTTGGAATCAAGTCTCTAGGCAGAAGATACAAATGTAGGATACTAGAAGCCATAACTCTGTCTTTAGAGTTACACTGGGTTTAAAAGAAGCTATATAGTATGAGCAAGATAGAGTTTAATTGTTGCCCAAAATGCAAAACTGTAGATAATACTAGTTGTATGTGGTGAATGTAGTGCTATGAGTTAAGTGCTTAATATAAGTGCATAGAAAGACTTCCATAATTGGTGGGTATTAATTTTATAAATATATACAACAGCAAGTTAAAGTATTTTATTTCCATGTTTATAAGTTTGTTTGTGTTTAATTTTCCTCCTATTATAAAAACTTTGTGGGTAAGCTGTTTCTAATCCAGAGCTTCCTTCCTCCAAAGCTCAGTGATGTAAGAGGAAACATCTCCGTAATTTATTAGGCCTTTAAGTAATTAATGCTTGAAAAATTGCTCATTGTCCACACAACTCATCCTTTTATTGGGGGAGAGACAGTCTCTAAAATCCAGTGAGAATAACTTTATTTCTCATTGACCAAAATTATAGCTGCGAGATGGTGTAGAAACCATTCAAATAGGATTTAGATATTCTATAATGGGAACTGGAATGGAAAAAGGGTCTTTAGTTCTTATTGAAAATCCAGTGAATAGTGTTCACCATTGAAAGTGGTAGGATTCTCTAGTAGTTACCAACTGTTGAGAGTAGAAATAGTGATTATTCCAAAATGATTGGAAGACTTGCTCCTTGCCTCAAGT